TACACAGCTGGTGAAAAAGATGCTAAATAATAGCAAGGCACGTATGGTCAGTGCCAATTTCCCAGGGGAAGGTGGAGTAGCATACTTAGACAGCAATGCTTGAATAAGCTGTAGGGGGGATCTATTAATTAAAAGGAGGGACACAGGAGGGGAAAGAGAGGAGGAAGAAGAATGAAGGGACACCCCGAAAAAGAGAAGAATTTGAGGTCAGGGTATCTTCAATCTTAGCAGTGCTCAATTAACTAATGAAGAACTTAATCTTCTTGATAAGGGGTTGAAATATACTCCCGCTACCCGACTGAACAAGTTCGGTACATATATAGATGTACATAAATTTATCAGGCAACTGTCGCTCAAAACATATTTCTTCAATAAACCTATTGCTGAGACTAAACCCTCTGCTAATATGGTTCACTCCAACCTGAAAAATGCATCAACCTTTAATCCCCCTCCACAATCTAATTCTTGCATTAATGTATTTAAAGAGAGGATCTTAAGGGACCTTGATATGATACCCACTAAACGGATGCATGATAACTCTGGTGACAGATTAGCGATTAAAACACTACTGGAAAAGAAAGACCTTGTAATTAGACCGGCAGATAAGGGAGGGGGAGTGGTTATTTGGAATAAGGTGATTATATGGAGGAGGTCAACAAACGTTTAAAGGAAGAATCCACCTATAGATTACTACCTAATGATCCACTGACAGGATATAAGAAATCACTTCTAGCTATCATCAAAAGAGGTTTTGAAAATGGGATCATTAACTACCTGCCGACCGCAGATAGCCGAATGACGGCTGCACTGCGGTTTCTGGGTGGACGTCATATGACGTCCCCCCAGAACGCGCTCTCCTGCGCGCCCCAGGGGGCGCGCACCCGGCGATCTCCGTGATCGCTGTGTCCTACGGACACAGCTGATCACGAGATGTGGTAAAAGGCCGATCATACCGGCCTTTTACCACGTGATCAGCGGTGTCCAATGACACGCTGATCACAGGGAAATGCAAGTGCCGGTTCTCGGCTGCACTTTCCTCACACTGTCAGATCGTGAGGAAAGTACTGCCGAGAACCGGCAGTTGTCAGAGCGGGGATCGGCACCGATCATCAGGGCACTGATGATCAGTGCCCTGATGATCGGTGCCCAGCAGTGACACCCGCAAGTTCCGCCCAGCAGTGCGCCCACTAGCTCCGCCCACCCGTGCCCAGCAGTGCACCCACCTGTGCCCAGCAGTGCCCCCACCTGTGCCCAGCAGTGCACCCACCTGTGCCACTCTGCAGTGCCACCTACCTGTGCCCAGAAGTGCCACCTACATGTGCCCAGCAGTGCCACCCACCTGTGCCCACCCACCTGTGCCCACCAGTGCCACCCACCTGTGCCCACCAGTGCCACCCACCTGTGCCCACCCACCAGTGCTGCCCACCAGTGCCACCCACCAGTGCAGCCCAGCAGTGCTGCCAGTCAGTGCCACCAGTCAGTGCCCAGGGGTTGTGCCAGTCAGTGCTGCCAGTCAGTGCCCAGCAGTGATGCCAGTCAGTGCCGTCTATCAGTACCCATCATCAGTGTCACCTATCAGTGCCGCCTATCAGTGCCGCCTATCCGTGACCCCTAATTAGTGCTGTCTATCAGTGCCGCCTATCCGTGCCACCTCATTAGTACTGCCTATCAGTGCCCTTTAGTGCTGCCTATTAGTGCCCATCAGTGCCACCTATCAGTGCCCATCAGTGCTGCCTCATCAACGCACATCAGTGATGGAGAAAAAATACCTGTTTGAAAAAAATTTTATAAAAGAAACAAATAAACTTTTTTTTTTTTTTCAAATTTTTTGCACTTTTTTATTTATAGAGCAAAAAGTAAAGCGCCCAGTGGCGATTAAATACCACCAAAAGAAAGCTCTATTTGTGAGAAAAAAATGATCAAAATTTCATATGGGTACAATGTTGCATGACCGCGCAATTGTCAATCAAAGTGCGGCAGCGCTGAAAGCTGAAAATTGGCCTGGTAAGGAAGGGGGTATAAGTGCCCGGTAGGCAAGTGGTTAATAAGAAAGAAAAGGCGTTTCTGTGTCCTACAGCGCCAAGGCTTCCTATACTATATATCCTCCCAAAAGTACACAAGGACCCAGTACATCCACCTGGGCGCCCTATAGTCAGTGGTATAGGGTCGTTATTGTCAAAAAGCGGAGAATATATAGACTTCCATTTGCAGCCATTGGTTACCAAAACGCCCTCATTTTTAAGTGACACCAAGCAGGTACTGAATGAGGTTAAAGCTGTGAACACATCACCCAGTATGTTCTTGGTCACAGCGGACGTTAGTTCACTGTATACAAGCATTGACCACGCAGATGGTATGGAGGCGACCGATTTTTACTTGACCAACTACAGTTCTTTACCTGCTGCACAGAAACATTTTATTCTTGAGCTGTTGCACTTTGCGATGTATCATAACTATTTTTGGTACAAAAAACCCTACTACTTACAGATAAAGGTTGTTGCGATGGGGGCCAAGTTTGCCCCCAGCCTCGCAAACCTCTTCATGTCAAGATGGGAGGAGGATGTCATATACGCCAGAGATTGGCCTGAACTGGTCATGTACAAAAGATATATAGATGACATCCTCCTCCTATGGGATGGAGAGGAAAACGCGCTGATAAATTTTTTTTTACGACACTGAATAACAATAACCTAAATATTCGGTTGACCTATATGTACAGTCGACAACAGATCGACTTCCTTGATCTCACATTAATTAACGACAATGGGAGGATAGTGACTAAGTCCTTTTTAAGGCTTCCGATCGAAATAGCTACATCCCAATGAATAGCTGCCACCACCCTAACTGGCCTCAACAATATACCGAAAGGCCAATTCATGCGAATAAGGCGCAATTGCACTGAGCTAGAGACATATTGGTCTCAAGCGAATATACTTAAAAACAGGTTCCTTGAAAAAGGTTACAATGAGACCGACCTTGATGACACCTTAACCAAGGTTGCGGGTTTAGATAGAAATGAAATGCTCTCATACAAGCCTAAAGGTGCACATATGAAAGTGTGTCCATTTATAACCACCTTTTCGGTACAATACAGGCAGGTGGGAAGATTGATCAGGAAAAATTGGGATATTCTGAAAATGGACCCAGTCCTATCCCAAATACTGCTTGATAAACCAGAGATCATCTTTCGGAGGGCTCCCGCTATTAGGAACCAGATAGCACCTAATGTGGTTGATCCCCCTACTAGACTGACATTTTTTAATGAACTAAAAGGTTTTTACCCATGTAATAAGTGCATTATGTGCAGGTGTGATAGCACTCGTAAGCGAAGAGTAGACACCTTTGATTCATCTATAACGGGAAGATCGTATACTATCAGACAATTTATATCATGCCATAGTAGGTTCGTGGTTTATCTTCTCTGGTGCCCCTGTAACAAACAATATGTAGGGCGGGCCACCAGACGCCTACGCGATCGCCTGCGCGAGCATGTGGCAAATATAAAGAAAGGTTATAGGGAACATTCCCTTTCCAACCATTACAGGCTTTTTCACAATAAGGACCCTACTACATTAAAATTTGTTGGTATAGAGGTAATATGCCCACATTGGAGGAGGCTTCATAAAACCAGGGCTGTTTCTCAGGCTGAGACCCGATGGGTCTATGAATTAGACACTCTATACCCTCATGGTCATAATATAGAGGTCGATATCAATTGTTTTATAGCTAATAGCTAGGGGGTGTGTTCATTCATTTATTATATTTTACCGCACGTCATAGAATGCTAAATTACTATACAGATCTTGTAGCTATAGTATATAGTCTTTATTAGTCTGATGAGCATTTTATGTTATTTCTTATTATTTTTTATGATATTTCAAGACCTTATGACTATCATATCTTTTAATGTACACCGATTTGTGAGATTAGGGTCACTGGTTGTAATTCTTATATATGAAGATATGATTTTTAGAATTTCATGAGTCGATTATCTTATGCCGTGGATGATGTAACAGATGCTGTATACATCTCACTATGATAATATGCAGCATTCTTCCCTATTTGGAACATTAAGGGTAGAGCGCTCTCATCGGGAGCAGAATATTGATAAATCCCCTATGTGCCTTTAGAAAGAGTGGGGTATTGGTAGATCCCCCCCCCCAATCATATTTTAATATTGCTGTCATAAGCATCACCACTCTCCCTGGGAATGTGGCACTCGGTTCAGGTGCCTTGCTATCATTTAGCGCTTTTCCAGCATCTGTATATGCATACGGATTGCTGTTTAAGATCCACAGCAAAATGGCGGCTCGTGAAGGCGCATATGCGCAGTTCTTCCCGCTTTTTGGGAGAATGGCGGCAGGGTGTGCACATATGCATGAACGCTGTTTTATATGGACTTTTTTACATTGACTTGTATTTGTATATTGAGTTTTATATTTTTGCATCAACATTTCATTAGTATTTCTATATTAGAAAGTATTTAAGCACCTTATGCCATGGACGAAATAATAGATGCCATACACAACAAAGCCTTCTATTTGGAGGATAAAGGGTTAAGTGCTCCCGGTATACTCTTAGGGAACAGGGTAATAATATAATACCTAAGTGCTCTCAGCATGTTCAGAGGGAGCGGGGTATTAATAGATCCCCCTACAGCTTATTCAAGCATTGCTGTCTAAGTATGCTACTCCACCTTCCCCTGGGAAATTGGCACTGACCATACGTGCCTTGCTATTATTTAGCATCTTTTTCAACAGCTGTGTATGTACACAGACTGTTGTCTACGATCCACGGCAAAATGGCGGCTAGTGAAGGCGCGCATGCGCAGTTCTTCCCGCACCTCGGGAAAATGGCGGGGAGCTAGCGCTTGCTCTCATTTCTTTCGTGTGCTTAAATATAACTATGGGATGGGCAAGAAGGCTAATAAAAGGTTTATACCAGTGCTATAGGTTTACAAGCACAGACAATCATAGTTTATTTTTCTTTTGAAGGCACAGCAAGCCCTTTGGAAATGCAGCCATCCCCATCTCCACCACCAAGCCCTTCAGATCAAGAAAGAAGTTCAGCTGAGCCTGTTATGCTGAGCCTTGAAAGCAGCAAAGAAAATCAGCAGCCAGAAAGCCGATCCACTTCTTCCTTGAGTGGCCGAACCTTCCCAGGTCCTCACCAGTTGGCAGCAGCTGGAATCCAGGAGATTGTGGCCATGTCTCCAGAGCTGGACACGTATTCCATTACAAAGAGGGTGAAGGAAGTGCTGACTGACAATAATTTAGGTAAATGTACAAACAATATTGTAATTTGTGTAAAACATGCGTTTGTTATCATTTCCCTTTACAATTTCTGAACAGTGCAAAACCTAGGGTTTCATATGAAGTTTGGTGATTTGGAGGGGTGGAGCTCCGATATTGCAAAACACTGCATGTATATGGACAACGCATTCCATGTACAGCAAACTCCCACAAATTGCAATTCTGTGGTTCATGGTGTACAGTATATATGCTATAAAACCCTCACGTGACACTAGTATATATGCTGTAAAACCCTCACGTGACACTAGTATATATGCTGTAAAACCCTCACGTGACACTAGTATATATGCTGTAAAACCCTCACGTGACACTAGTATATATGCTGTAAAACCCTCACGTGACACTAGTATATATGCTGTAAACCCTCACGTGACACTAGTATATATGCTGTAAGACCCTCACGTGACACTAGTATATATGCTGTAAAACACTCACGTGACACTAGTATATATGCTGTAAGACCCTCATGTGACACTAGTATATATGCTGTAAAACACTCATGTGACACTAGTATATATGCTGTAAAACCCTCACGTGACACTAGTATATATGCTGTAAGACCCTCATGTGACACTAGTATATATGCTGTAAAACCCTCACGTGACACTAGTATATATGCTGTAAAACCCTCACGTGACACTAGTATATATGCTGTAAAACCCTCACGTGACACTAGTATATATGCTGTAAAACCCTCATGTGGACACTAGTATATATGTTGTAAGACACTCACGTGACACTAGTATATATGCTGTAAAACCCTCATGTGACACTAGTATATATGCTGTAAAACCCTCACGTGACACTAGTATATATGCTGTAAAACACTCACGTGACACTAGTATATATGCTGTAAAACCCTTATGTGACACTAGTATATATGCTGTAAAACCCTCACGTGACACTAGTATATATGCTGTAAAACCCTCATGTGACACTAGTATATATGCTGTAAAACCCTCACGTGACACTAGTATATATGCTGTAAAACCCTCACGTGACACTAGTATATATGCTGTAAAACCTCACGTGACACTAGTATATATGCTGTAAAACCCTCATGTGGACACTAGTATATATGTGTAAGACACTCATGTGACACTAGTATATATGCTGTAAGACCCTCATGTGACACTAGTATATATGCTGTAAGACCCTCATGTGACACTAGTATATATGCTGTAAGACCCTCATGTGACACTAGTATATATGCTGTAAGACCCTCATGTGACACTAGTATATATGCTGTAAGACCCTCATGTGACACTAGTATATATGCTGTAAGACCCTCATGTGACACTAGTATATATATGCTGTAAGACCCTCATGTGACACTAGTATATATGCTGTAAAACCCTCATGTGACACTAGTATATATGCTGTAAGACCCTCATGTGACACTAGTATATATGCTGTAAAACCCTCATGTGACACTAGTATATATGCTGTAAGACCCTCATGTGACACTAGTATATATGCTGTAAGACCCTCATGTGACACTAGTATATATGCTGTTAAACCCTCATGTGACACTAGTATATATGCTGTTAAACCCTCACGTGACACTAGTATATATGCTGTTAAACCCTCATGTGACACTAGTATATATGCTGTAAGACCCTCACGTGACACTAGTATATATGCTGTAAGACCCTCACGTGACACTAGTATATATGCTGTAAGAACCCTCATGTGACACTAGTATATATGCTGTAAGACCCTCACGTGACACTAGTATATATATGCTGTAAGACCCTCACGTGACACTAGTATATATGCTGTAAACCCTCACGTGACACTAGTATATATGCTGTAAGACCCTCACGTGACACTAGTATATATGCTGTAAAACCCTCACGTGACACTAGTATATATGCTGTAAGACCCTCACGTGACACTAGTATATATGCTGTAAGACCCTCACTAACACTAGTCTATACATAAAGTTCCTTTTTCCATCTGGAGGAGACATTCATTTTACTTGAATGCAAAGCACCATGGTGACATACAATTTATTTAAATTTTCCACCAGCAATTTCTACTTGAAAATGTTTCACCTCCTTAGAACTTCATGGAATCAGTCACACAAGGTGTTTTTTTTACTTTCTGGTGAACAGTATATGAATATAAGAGATAATTTGTGTATTAATAGGCATAAGTGCTTGGTAATGTATCTGTACCTGAAATGAGAAATGAAGTAGCTCCAAATGTGGCTCTCTCTCCCTCCTCATTATTATATACAATATTACTTACCAGGACCAGTGGTCTGCGGACATCGCTTTATGAAGTATGTGTGAAGCGGTGCCTTCTACACTCATTGTGCAGTGCCGCATGTGCACCAGCTCCGACATAAAGATCTGCAAGCAGACCATATGATCCAAGGCAGGAGCCGGTACATGTGCAGTATTGTGTGCCCCAGAGAGTGAGAAAACATCCAAACTGGTCCATCTGCAATAATTTATATGACTCTTGAGAAGAACGAAGGGGGCATTTCCAGCAGTTCACTTTCACTTTCAGTAAGACTGCCACCTGGCTAGTATTTCAGTCTGGCCTGACTGTTAAACAGAGGACAGAGTGTGCTGGAAACAAATAATTCTCTAACAAGTCTGCCAATCATTTCCTTTACCCAGTACCCCTCTTTTAACCTGGCCATGTCACTTAAGAAGCTGAATGTTGGTTTCTCCTTCTTCTCAAAACTCAGATTTCTTAGTCTGACACTTTAGCCTTGTTTTCAGTGATTGCCTTTTGTGTCCCTTCTGGGTATATCGTGTCTATCAACATACCAAGAATTTCTGGTAATACAAGATTCACAGACACATAATGTGATAAGCCCCTCTTCCCTTGCTTTTGTTATTTTTGACCCTTGTTTGTGTGTTATTATTTTATTATTTCAAATAATTATCTAATTACAAAATCTTCTTCAATGAGTATATGAGTCCTCAGCCCCTGACTAGTTCCTGTCGTAAGTCTGCAGTTCTTGAGCAGCTTAAGGTCCTGTAGTAAGTCCGCAGACCCCGACCAACTCCTGTAGTAAGTCTGTGATATCTGACCAACTCCTATAGTAATCCTGCAGTCTCTGACCAGCTCCAAAAGGAATTCTGCAGCCTCTCTCCCCCTCCTGTTGTAAGTAATTGCACAGTGTTGACCAGTTCCTGTAGTAAATCTGCAATCTCTTACCAGCTCTTGTGGTAAGTCCTCAGTCCCTGACCAGCTCAGGTAGTATGTGTGCAGTCCCTGACCAGCTCCTGTAGCAAGTAATTTTGCAGGTTCTGATCAGCTCCTGTACAGGGGCGGACTGACCATTTGGAAACTCGGGCACTGCCCGAGGGCCCAGGGTCAGTAAGGGGCCCCATGAGATTCCCCTGGTACCTTTTTCATAGGCTTTTTTGAGTTTGGGAAAGGACACAGGGGCCCCATGATCCCCTATTGCCCGGGGGCCCCATGAGTTGTCAGTCCGCCCCTGCTCCTGTAGTAAGTTTATAGTCTCTGAAGCCCACTGTTGGCTGATGTCACAGAGCCAGTCCAGGCTCTGAAAAGAACCGTGGACTGGCACCTGCTTCAATCTCTCAGCAATCCCCCGAGAGCCTGAGCTAGACCCTGTCCTCCCCTCCACAGCCCAGCACTCCAGTCAGCGCTGGGCAGGGGGTTCAGAGCAGAGAGAGACTGACAGTCCTGGCTCTCTGCTCAGAGTGGAGGGGGAGAACTGAGCGATTGCGGTTTTTGATAACTAAGTTCTCTGTGCAGATGTGGGACACATGCAGCATCGGATCGATACTGCATTCACCTAGGTGAGTATAACGTTTTTCTTTACAGCCTATACTTCTCTTTTAACAAGTCTGAAGTCAGTTGAAGCCAAAATTTAGAGTCCGATTTATAAAACAGTGGCATGGCCAGGGATGGGGGAGGGGCAGTCCTGTAATCAACCTTTTCCTTTATTCACATAGTTCTGTTTGTGATTACCTTAAGGTCCTGCATGCTCCACATTTCTGCCTGTTTTTTATAAGTAGGCTGAATAATGAAGTAATACTGCGGTGTCCAGCTGTTAATGATATTGGCTATAACTAGTACTCTTAGGGGGTTATTTACTAAAAACAAATAGACTGTGCACTTTGCAAGTGCAGTTGCACTCATTTTACCCAAAGCTTAGTAAATGTGGTGAAGCTCTGCTGATTTCCATCATTCAGTCATGTGCAAACAAAAATGCTGTGTTTTTATTTTCCTTGCACCTGATTGGGTATTCTTTACAAAGTGAAGCTTCACCACGCTTACTAAGTTTTGTAGAAAAGGAGTTCAACTGCACTTGCAAAGTGCCCAGTCTACTTGTCTTTAGTAAATCAATCCCTTAGTGCTTTGTGGCAATCAAGGATTATTGTCTACCTCACATCCAGTTTAGGTCACACTTCACCTTGGCCATTTTTTTTTAAGAAAAGTGCTTTCCGTTTAACTTGACACAAACACAGGTACTTGTCTTCAGAATTTACTAATCACCTGTGTAACTTTGGCAGTAAAAGCAAAATTCTGTCCGTATGTTAGCATGTTCATATCAGCTTCTCTTCCTTTATCTGTTAAAACAAGGTCCACAACTTTCTTCAGTAATATGAAGCATATTTTATGATTAGCATCTATGAATAATTAACAAATATAGACTACCATCTGTGATGACTGTCTAAGGTCTGCTGTGAGTGGAAACCAGGTAATGTTTCTATGGGTTTTGGGTTTGTGATGCACCAAGCTGTAACCTACAGAAATGCAATAAGAACATACAAACATAGTACATATAGTGTCTCCTATGTGAATACTCCTGCAGCTGTTGCCTTTCTGATCAAAAGGGTTTTTTGTTGTTTAATTTTGAATACGGTGGGGACAGGATAGACCTGTCAGGTTTTTATTGCTGTTTGGTCACATTTAGGGAAATTCCCAATCACTTTCTGTCCTGGCAGCCAGTTTAAGGATAACTTTACCTTAGTGAAGTTGTCCTAAAAATAGGACAGAGTGTAGCTGACATAGCTAACTACACACCATCATCCACTCTCTTCAATTCTTGACTGTGCGGAGCTTCTCAGCTCTGAACACCCTTTACATCTAAAATATCTCAGCTGGTCCTCTACCTAATGTGTACACATAGCCCAAACCACTGCATTCCTATGGATGGTCCTTTCTCATGGAGGCCACCAAGCATCCAGCAGAGAATGAACCATCCGACGGAATAAATAGGCTTGTGGTGCATGAGCGGATGTTTTGCATTCATAAGCTGTTGGGCTGAAGGCCAGGCTGCATACTAAAGAACATGGGAGCAGGGATGAAGGTATTTAACTAAGCCAGTTATACTCAGGGGGATGGGGGTTTTATTAAAAATTGAAGTTGTGCTTTTAAACTCCAGAGCCATTTTCACATTTCAGGCCAAGGGTCTACTAATTGTGCATTAACTTTGTTATTACTTATAATGCAGAATTTCTTTTGGTGGTATTATCTTCCAATAGGTATTTGATTTTTTTATATATATTTTAAAGGCAAAATACATAAAATAAGATGTAAAATATACTATTTTAGCAGTTTGACCAATGATAATTTTTTTTTAAAAACTGTTGACACAGTTGATTTGTGGTAACACGCATTACTGTACCTCACTGCATTGCATATTGCATGCATAGGTGTAGTGTGGTGCCATTCATTCTGTCCTCAGAATGGTGCGATCACAATGGAGTGAATGGGCCCTCAGTGTCACTATAAATACAAGGTGCTATTTTTTTCTGCCATATTTGTGTGGCAAAGCTATTTACAGATAAAGGCATCTTAAAATTTTGCATAGGTATTTTAGCACCAGTGCTCCAAAAATGAACAAATACATTGAACAAAAACACAATGTTTATAAATTTAGATAACAGAGAAAACAGTAGCTAAAGAGAGCAGGGAGAGAAGTACTTCACAGAATAAAGGTACAAAGATACAAAGAACTTTGCAAAGATAGGCATTTATTAAAAAAAAAAAACACTTTTGTATTTTCAGGTTGCTTCAGCTATTTTTGTATATAGAAAAACAGAGGCATTATAATTAGCTGCTATTGACCAATGCTTACATCGCATAGCACCAATGCAGATAACTACAATATAAATAGTTTTGCTAACATTTTGACAAGCAGTGAGGCTGTCACACATGTGACACACAATAAATCTGCTACACAGATTGGGACAACTGGCCGTAGTTTCTGCCAACTAAACCACTGGGCATGTGCCTGGCAGAGCAGAACTCTAGGGCATAGAAGATGCAGCCGAGGCCAGTTGAAAACAGAGCTGTGAAGGGACACCTGTGCAAGGTTACTTTTTGGCTCTCCATTTAAATACATGACAAGTAAAATGACTTGTTGTGTATTGAATGACAGCTTGATAAAAGTGAGCAGTGTCCATGTTCTTGTGACAGAAGGTGGAGTCACACCATCCATTTCCCCACGTCTAGTAAAAATGGACCCCAGAGTCACGGTGAGCACTTGTATAGCTGCACAGTGTCCACAAAAGGTATGTCCACACCTGGTCCTTAACTGGTTAACTTATCGATGTTTACATCACATAGCACATATGAATCGGGTGGCACACCCTCTTAACAAACACTTTCAGATTGGATGAACTATCCTGTTGAGATGGTACTGGAGAAGAAGGGACAGCAGGACATTACAGGCAACAGGCTGTCAGATCTGCTTTTCACAGGGAGAACCAATAGCAGTTGAAACAGGTTTCCTCAGTTTTTTCTTTAGAGATTGGTTGGGAGGGGTTTTGGCCAGGGCCCATAGATATAATAATGTCACCTAATCTGGCTAAAAGAATTCAATGATGGTGACAGTGACTGCCAGTTATTGCTGGAGCTATGCAAGCTTACCTGGCATTGTTCTGAAACAACATGCTTTATAATGTAATATTTATATATACAATACCTAGGTTGCCATTATTTATCTGAGAATCTCCTGTAAGAGTAATATATTGTTTCATCTTTTAAAGGTCAGAGGTTGTTTGGAGAAAGCATCTTGGGGTTGACTCAGGGTTCTGTATCAGACCTGCTGTCCAGGCCCAAACCATGGCATAAGCTCAGTCTGAAAGGCAGGGAGCCATTCGTCCGCATGCAACTCTGGCTGAGTGATCCACACAACATTGAAAAACTCAGAGACATGAAGAAAATGGAGAAGAAGGGTGAGTTTTAGATGAAAGTACATTAGTGTTATCTCTGTAAATCTTTATAAGCTGCATAACACAAAATGTCAGGTCACTGATGAATTTATCTGTTATATGTTTTTCAATGTTGGTTGATCTCAAAGGTGTCCATTAGGAACTCTTACCTTGTGTATACGTATCTATTAGCAGCTCTCATAAAAGTATCCTTTAACAGATATGGGAAAAAAACATCTTGTTCTATGCAAGAGGAAGTCTAGAGTGCATGGAAAATGCTTGTCATTTGGAAAATTACTAATATGACATTAAGGTCATTTGCAGATTTCTGGATTTCAAATTGGATGCTTTGATGCAGGACTGTGAATGAACACTTTAATAGTTAATATTGTTGTTTAGTGCCTGGTTTTCCCCTTATAGACAAACGGATATAACCAAATAAACGCTGAAGATATAAATGTGCACACTTCCTTTTGCACCAAATAGTTTTTCACTGTACAATGGATACATAAAAAGCTTGTCCTAATTATGGAAAAATACACATGGCACATCTAGTTTACATGTTTGACTTAAATAATCTGTCCTACAATATCACAAATTTGTTGTTACATTAAATAGGAATTTCTGGTAAATGTGAAATCATACAGTGAACAGTTAATGCTATTCAGGAATCATCACAACTGCGTTGGAGCCAAAACGACTACTCCATATTTTATCTTAAATTATAACAAAGGTATAACAAAGATGGATTGGAACCCATTTCAAGTTTTTATTGTTGTACCCCTGTTAGGGAGATTCACCCTCTCTATTTGTCCTGTTTACTATAATCATCACAAGTGAACATAAAAGAAAATCCCATATTTTGGGTTGACACCAGAACAGTGATTTCTTCTCACTTCCTGTTTAGACTATGGGATAGGAAGTGAAGGGAAATCTCCCCAATGAAAGTCTTCTCAGATGCTCCAGGATCCATGAATTCAAGGATGCTTAAGCATGCCACTAATGACTCTTCTTAGTTGTTCCAAGAAATTGCCCCACATTTCCTCAGTGGCCAATGTAATTTTTGTAAGACCTTATGAGATTGTATGTTTGTTCTGGATACAATCTTTTAGATTTACAAAGCATTATTAGATTTTTACAATCAAATTCATGTAGTTCACACTCTGCTGTGATGCTCTGTTTTATATATATATTCTTTATTTAATTATTAAATGGACTGCAAAACATATAGGGAATATGCCTGTAAAGTCATACATTTAACCATCTTTGAGTTTTAAAATTTCATAGTAAATAGAAAAAAGGTACATGCCATTACTAGTGGCACATCCATAGTCAAGTCAACAATGATGCCAGAGGTTGGGGATAGATAGGCTTCACTTGGATAGGCAATGTGAGGAGGTAAGGAGAAAGAAGGAGTGTGGAAAGGGATGGAGAAACGGGTGGGAAGAGGTAAGACAGAATATGAAGCAGAGTACTTGGAGTAGGGGAGCTATGGGAGGCTGGGTAAAAGGGTTAGGAGAAAATCAATAACCACTAACCAAAAACAAAATGGTGGAGGCAGACTCACCATCTAGTGAGAGAGAGGATTTGATGCAGAAGAGGGATTTTCCTCCTGTCTAGCCAGTGGAGCAATAAAGGGGCAAGCATGATGACCCCCTAAAGCAATTTTGCTCCCCATGTCTCCTGTTGTTGAAGGCAACATGGTTGAGGTAGTAAAGCCAGGTGGCCCAGATGCAATAACATTTGTCATATTGGTCTTTGCATGTTGCCACCTAGTGTTCAGTCTCCATATTATCTGGAACCTTTCTGATCCATCTTTTCTGAACGGCACCTTAGTCTGCTTCCAGAAGAGAGGGATCAGGCATTTTACTGCATTCAAAAAGTGTGGTAAGGCACTTTTGTTAGTGTTTAGTGGACATGGGGGGGGGGGGGGGGGGGGGTGTAGTTAAAAAGAGACCTGGGACATCTGGGAAATATATATCCGAGATTCATATAATTTGTGATCTGACATATACAGTAGCTTAAAGTGCCATGACTAAATAAACATGAGCCTACTTACTGTATACACAGCATACATTTGCTACAGTACTTGTACCTGCACTGTCAGGAGTGCAAAATGTGCAAAGTGCAAGGCTCAGGAATGGGTAACCCCCAGGCCACTACAGGAATACAACCAAAAATTACCCCCTCCTGCCAGTAAAATTACCCCTCCTCCCCAAGCCTCTCTCTCACACAGTACAGTTCTCAACAAACAGCCGCAATCTTCTGCCAGTACAGATCTTCCCCCAAAGCCATGAATCCCCTCTTCCAGCCCACCACCTCAGTAGTACAGACACTCCTCCCATAGTAACCCCTCAGTACAGACCCTGCCTACCTAGTATAGAGATCTTCTCCCAGCCACAGACAGAGATCTCTTGGGCAATAGAGGCCATGCATTTCTCCATGGGCATCCAGAGCTTTTCTTGAATATGGTGGTGCCAATTAAAGATCTTTCAGATTGCTATGGCCTTATAGTGTAGGTATATAGCAGGGAGCCACAGACATCAATGACTCGAGGGGGTTGATTTACTAAAGACAAATATACTGTTCACTTTACAGGAGCTTTGTGAATGAGGTGAAGCTGCTGACTTCAATCATTACATTTTTTTTTTTTCCATGCTGCGGGGTTAACTGCTCGTTTTGTCCAGGTGTGCACAGAATGGCTATACTTACCTAATCCATCGATCCTCCCAAAAACAGTGGTTCCCCACGTCTAGCGGTGGACTGTTCCTGCCATTCTCACATCTAGAGCTGGTCTATGGACGTGATGATGTCAGGTACCGCTAGCGTGCGGGGGGGCAGGAGCAGCAGGGACCAGTCTAGCACTCGGAGGATTGGCGGTTAAGAAGGTAAGTATATCTCTGTTCTCCCCACCCCTATAAATAAACAAGCAGTTTACCCATACATTGTGAGCACAGCTCCACTGCATGGGAGAAAGAAAATCCTGGAATTCTTCTTTACATCAAGTGCAGGCTTTTTTTTGCATTTTCCTTGTACTTTGGCATGCTATACAAAGTGGGAATACACCTAATCCACTAAGCATCAGGGAAAATTTCCTTGCAAAGGGAGTAGCCGCAGCCTGTTTGCCTTTAGTAAATCAACCCCTAGGTCTGGAAAGCATGTGGAAAGATAACTTTAATGCTCATTTTGAAAATAAACAACATAATGTGACGTAAATGTAATATGTAAAGAGCTGGACCAAGCTAAAAATAAATAAATAAAATCAAAAGAACTCAACTTTCAAGGTCAATTCACACATAGACGGTCAACTGCCGCATGTTAAACTGCAGCAGTTTACTGTATGACAGCTGTTCATTCTGGCTGCTGCTTTGAACAAACTTTATATGAAGCACACAAAAGTGACACTTCATTCATGTCACTATACAGCAGCGCTGTGCGTTGGGCTGCTGTACAGTGATATGCAATCCTTTCCAGTTCTAGGTGACAAAAAGCAGCATGTCTGCATTTTCTTGCAGATCACTACAGCACAGCTCCTGACTGCATTTCAGTGTGAGTAGAGCACACAGAAAATGATTGTTTTCTGTGTGTCCTAGCGATGACTGGTGTTTTTCCAGTGTGAAAAAATACCAGTCAACGCACTAGTGTGAAAAGGTCATTTTTAAAAATGGTGTAAAAAGAAGATCAATCCAACAGGGTATCAGTATGCTGACAACAGACTTTTGTTTTCTGTGGGCTAATGAATTTTGTTCACTGGCCATTAGTTAGTGATTGCTAAACCACTGTTTTGTTTTTTTTGTAAAGGAAACCCAATATACTGATCTAACAAAATAATACAAGTGTGTTTTATGTTTAGCATATCTTAAACGGCGCTATGGACTGATAAGTGCCGGCTCAGACAGTGAATCGTCGACTGCTAGAACAGAGTGTGTGAGTCCCAATCTCCAGGCACAGGACTACAACCTCATCCAGCTAAAGAAACCAAGAGTGGTGCTGGCAACGGAAGAAAAGGAAGCCTTGAAAAAGGCCTATCAGATGGAACCATATCCTTCCCAACAGACCATTGAACTGTTGTCATACCAACTGAACCTCAAGACAAACACTGTCATTAACTGGTTTCATAACTACAGGTAACATAATAAAGAATAATATTCCCCTATTGAAACACTGAAGATCTCATAACACTACGGGGTTTATTTACTAAAGCTGGCTCACTTAGAATCTCATGCACTTCTGCATGGAAACCAATCAGCTTCCAGGTTTTATTGCTAAAGCTTAATTGAACAAGCCAAGGTTAGAAGCTGATTGGCTGCCATGCACAGGGGCATGAGATTCTGAGTGAACCAGCTTTAGTAAATCTCCTCCTACATGTCATTACATTGTTTTAAAATCCTGTGTGTGTGTGTTACGGTTATTTGAAAAGTTGGCTTGGATTTTAGGTCTTGAAGCGGCTGCATGGGTTGCATGTTCTACTTTCATCTAACTTCTCCTGTTGTCTACCTTTAGAGTTCTTCTGCTGTCTGGCAGCTTCAGGCTGTGTCTGACTTTGGTTGACAGTTCTCTTGAGATGTTCCAACTCACAACAGTGTTTAATAGATCATTTAAATTAGATTATTTTTTTACCTGCTTTGAATTAAAAACAGATAATAGCCTCTTTCTATATTATTAGGAAATTTGGCTGTTCCTAATTTGAAAACTGTTCTTTCAAAATCACCCAAAGCTAAATTACTATTAAAGGATACGTTCACCTTTTAAAATAACCAGGTTAAAAAAATGTGCAATTATAATTTTTTTTACTTAGAGGCTAGAAAGCATTGCAATCGCGATCAGCAGATTGCGGGTGCCATGCAGGACTCCCGCAGACTTGTCAGTGTATCTGGGTGCTTAGACCTTGCACAGGCAGGTAGATACACACTGACAGGAAGAGACAATGAACTACCACAGCGTTCAACGGCATCGTGGTAGTTCACCGAGAACTACAAGCTGACAGCCACAAAGGCTGTCGGTACTTGTAGTTTCACAAATGATGCGGCCAGGTGGGTGGAGCCCCGTGCAGCTGCCTCTTTTTTTTTTTTAATAGTGACAGATAGCAGGGAGAGAAGATCCCCAACTAGATGCGGGCAGCGACTTCAAGAAATGGGTGGAACATGTAACATGTTGTTTATTTATTTTATTTATTTCAGGTACGTATATAGCACCGTCAATTATCCTTTAAAAATCCTTCGAAATATGTATGAAGAAAGCCTTGCAGTGTCACATCACATCTCCCAATACAATATTTCGGCACAACAGAATGTTATGGGCCAGATCCCTTTTTATAAGTTAACTTAAATATTATAAATAATGTTAATGATTAAAGTGAATTTAGAGAATGAGCACACTTCTAGTTTGCTGCCTATGTGAGAATATTTAAAGAGAATAGACATGCTAGAGCTGCGACAGGTCTATAGCTCTCCACATTCATTTATATAGTTGATGAACATAATATTTTTCCATGTTGCATCCTTATAATACTTAGTGACTTGTAGAGCATTTTGTATCCATAGTGCTGTAATTATTTTGCACTATTTTATCATTATGTGCAAGCTCCACTAATAAACAAAAACAATTAACCGTATATGTATAAATATGAGCTAATTCATCATTTCATAGTCACCAATAACTAGGAGCTTTTCTTCATATATAATTCTCCAAGCTGCTTCATGCTTGATAGTTATACATTCCCCTTGGCAGTAGGCTTAGGAAAAAATTGTGTCCCTCTATGAATTTACCTCCTGTAAATAGGAAAGCTAATTGCTCATTGATATATTAGAGCCCCCCACGACAGCAGTTTCACACGAAAAAAGGGTGGCAAGACCTTGGTTTTGGTAATTGGTTTTAGAAATGTTCTTACATTCCAGAATTCCCTGTAGGTACAACCTACAGTGGATTTTTGAGTGTCTGAATTGCTTGACTCATCTCATGATAACAGATATAAGAGTATACTCTAATTTAAATATCCTGTGTAAATATTTTTTTGTATGTGGTACTTTATTACTGTCCATTTATTTTTGTCTGTTTTCCACATCGTACAGTCGGTTATATGTTGCTATATTTGTCAGTACAACAGCATATAATAACTAGAACTGATATGTGTATGGATTTGTAGGTCTCGAATGCGCAGGGAGATTCTGGTGGAAGGTCAGCAGGACAATGACACCGATCAAGAACCAAGCAGTTGTGATAGCTTCACATCAGCAGCTGCCCCACATAGAGACCTGACTGCTCATAGTCCGGATTCTGAAACAGGAGACCAGAAACCTGTAATAAGTGATCTGAAACATTTGCTGAACAGTAACTGCTACCCTAAAGAGATGAAAAGTACTGTGAACATTAAAAATGAGAACACAGAGGAAGAAGATGATTATGATTCTTCCAATCATTGTGAGTCTTGTGGCTCTGGAACAGCATCGGGAAAGTGTTGTGAATCTGAGCCATCCAGAGCACTTAGAGAAAAGCAGCTGATGTCCCCTCATTGTGATGGTGCCCAGAGACTAAACTATTTACGAAAGGGCAGTTCGGTGCATGAGAACTCCCATCAACCCACAACTCATGACTGTGCTTCTGTGCTTTCCCATAAAGATAGCATGGTAACAGACCGACCACAAGCTGACCCCATCAGTTTCAAATCCACAGTAGAATCTTCCCGATGCAGCTTGGAGGTTTCTCTAAACTCACCATCAGCAGCTTCGTCCCCAGGCCTCATGATGTCCGTCTCTCCTGTACCTTCATGTTCAGCTCCCATTTCTCCATCCTTGCCTAACAGCATGCCTATTAAGGCTCATTCTTCCAGCCCGACTTGCGATATTGCCCCATTACATCCGTCCACAAAGCATAGCCCCAACAACCAGAAGAGGAATGAAAAAATGGCAAATCTTAATAATATTATCCATAGGCTTGAAAGAGCTGCAAATAAGGAAGAGACTCTGGAATGGGAGTTTTAAACATACATTTCTGTAAAGAAAAAAAACTGCACTCTTTCTATCAATCTCTGTGAATCCACATTATGGAGCAGAGCTGCTGCAGAGAACCAATATTGAATATTTTCTATATATTTTGCTTTGTCGGGTAGACAATTATAACAAAGGGAGACTGGAATTCAAGAAAAAAATAGTGAAAAACATAACTTAATTTTCATTGTTAAAAAAATCGACTCTTTTAGGAAAAAATATTTATAAACATTTTAGATATTTTATTAAATATTTGGAATTTATTAACACCCTCAGCTGCTTTGATAAAGAGATTGAAGTTAATTCACAGAGATGTACCCGTAATTACAATGAAGTCCTGTAGCTTGCCACTGGATGAGATTAGGACAGTTGTTTAAAGCCATCACAAAGCACTAGAAGGCTGACCAAATGAGAAGCTGCTTTGGTTTCTTCAGCTGTCTACAAGACAGTGGTGATTCCTACCCTCTGAAGAGACAGACATAGTCTGTAAGACTCTAAACTGAATGTGTATTGCATTGAAATGTATGTAGATGAGATGGTCCACTTTAAAAAGTATTGTGACATACGACTCAAAGTAGCTGTGATTGTTGTAGAACAGAAATTAGGAATATGAACACCCACTCTTACCACTGTATCATTTTCATTTATGTATGGGAAAGGTTCAAGATCCACGAGTTTGTACAAGAAAAGCAATGCTGTGTATCACCATGCAAAAGTGTATGAGTACATATTTATTTACGTGTGTTTTTTGAGGGATTTTGTCACTTTTATATTCTGCTATTCATAAATGAGCCAGGAATACCTGGGTACATTTAAAACATTTTAAGTAATTTTCATTCCGAGAACTGCAGTCCTCCTAGACTGAACATCACTGAAAGCTCCACATTTCACACCTTCCATTTCCTTTGATTACATGAGAAAGCCACAAAGTTGTTCCCTGCATTATTAGGGAAGGTAAGTGAAGTCTGAAAGCATTCCCAACAAAGGACTCAAGGGGAAAAAGTGTAATTTAACAGATTATAAACAATTATGAAATAACTTTGTGAGTTCTTTGGATTCGCAGTCATAAATTACTGCAGAGTCAGTAATATAGGGGTTTTCTTAGCTTCATAGGAAACAGCCCTCATGTAGGAAGGGGTAGTTTATTGCCTCAAATATTGCATCTGACTGGTTATTGACAGTACAGACCAGGGGCGGACTGACAACTCATGGGGCCCCTGGGCAATAGGGGATCATGGGGCCCCTGTGTCCTTGCCCAAACTCAAAAAAGCCTATGAAAAAGGTACCAGGGGCATCTCATGGGGCCTACAAAAAAGGAGGGTTTGTGAAAAGAGATTCACAGAAAAGCGGCTACATAATGAACAGAATGTGACACTTAACCTCCTTGGCGGTATTCCCGAGTGTAGCTCGGGGTAACATTTCAGTACCAAAAGCGGTAACCCCCCGAGCTACACTCGGGAATACCATGCGGCGCTGCTCCGGCATGTGTTCTTCACTTACCTTAACCTGCGCTCCCACGATGTGTCCCCTGCAGCGTCCCCGGACATCTCCTCCGGCCGATGCCGGCATCCGGCTTCTGTGTCCTGTCCCTGTGACGTCGGGACGTACGGGCGCCGCCGCCGCCGGCGGCGGGAAATTTAAAAAATTTTAAAAAATGTCATTTTTTTTTTTTTTTTCATTTTACACAGTAAAACATTGCTGTTTCAAAATTTCACATACATATTGTCCCTAGTGCTTTGTCCTGCGCCCTGCCTGCATTTTGTCTGTTCTTTCTGCCTGGAAACTGAGAAATGTCCATGGCGTCAAAAAGTGTCCCTTTAGGTCAAAAGCGGTTTAGATCAGCTAGAGAACATTAAATCAGAACCACTTACAGAATTGAGTGATAATGATTCGTGGGGGAAATTCGTCATCAGAAACTGAAAACGATTTTGCGACTGAGCTCAGCAATGTGCGAACTGGCGCTCTATTTCACATTTCAGTGTTTTTGGTTTGATTATATTATTGAATTAAATTTTTTATTATTTTTATATTATTTTTATGATTATTTATTAAATTATAATTTATGATTTTGTGTTTCAAATTTTATCATACCCGGGATGTTTTACTAGACTCTTGTTCGGACAGATTTCAGTGAGTTTTTCCTAAAAATTACAGCCTACAATAAAAAAAAATACATATTTCCATGCAAAAAAATGGTACCGCTTTCAGCACCAAAAATCTGAAATAATATACCGCCAGGGAGGTAGGGAATAATTTTATGCCACAAATGAATATGACATATGGGCATTTGCCCTGGTTTACCATCACCTCAGTATGAGTACACACAGACCTAAAACCATTTAAAATGACACAAAAACCGGTCTAAATGTATGTGTAGCAGGGAAAATGGCTACATGAGTCTAGTGTTCCTGCAACACAAACACACAGGTGAACACTTCCCTAGGGAGGTGTATCCAAAAATTATGCCATGGGCATACCATAATAGAGGATATAAGGGATTAAACAGTAACCATAATGGCAAATCCCTATCAAGAAATCCAAAAAATTATGCTGTAAATATATATCTCACATGTATGCAATGGAGCAAGCACAATATGCGTCAAAAAGGAGAGTAGCAGGCCTCAGGCCTGTATGAAGGAAGACATAAATGTCAAATATATTGTACAATACATTCCTGTGCCGGCACAAGTGGTTGGGGCCCATTCATCTGTAATATAGATAGCTGTTTCCTAGAGCTCTTGGATGGGAATATGCCCCATTTATTTCCAGGATGGAAGAAAAGATGCACACAGCAGCACTCTGCTTGAAATGGTTTTCTTCACCACTATCTTGTTTCCTATACAAAGCACCATGATGTCCCCATCCTGTAGTGAAACAAACAATATTGGTCCTGACGAAGCTGAGTGAGATACGCCCACCGGCGAAACGCGTTGACGTCATACGTCAGATACGTCACTTCCGGTCATGCGCACTAGGTGGAACGCACGCTGACCCATAAGGAGGAAGCCATCTTCACAAGCCATGAGGCAAGCCTAAGCAGCACAAGCGCCGAGAAGGGGCTGGAACCCGCGGTATATCGGCGGATGTCAGCGGTGGTTCCTTGGCCGCCTTGGCCCTGTATGGCAGTACCTATGAAGGATTTCTCTTTCATTCCCGTTATCCATAGCACAGGTGGTGAGTGGATTGTTGCAGGACATTAGATATATGGTCCTCTGTGATCTATATGACCTATATATCTTCTATAGAGTGTGAGCTCTGTCAGTGACTTCCCACATATTGTTTGTTTCACTACAGGATGGGGACATCATGGTGCTTTAGAAGATATATAGGTCATATAGATCACAGAGGACCATATATCTAATGTCCTGCAACAATCCACTCACCACCTGTGCTATGGATAACGGGAATGAAAGAGAAATCCTTCATAGGTACTGCCATACAGGGCCAAGGCGGCCAAGGAACCACCGCTGACATCCGCCGATATACCGCGGGTTCCAGCCCCTTCTCGGCGCTTGTGCTGCTTAGGCTTGCCTCATGGCTTGTGAAGATGGCTTCCTCCTTATGGGTCAGCGTGCGTTCCACCTAGTGCGCATGACCGGAAGTGACGTATCTGACGTATGACGTCAACGCGTTTCGCCGGTGGGCGAATCTCACTCAGCTTCGTCAGGACCAATATTGTTTGTTTCACTACAGGATGGGGACATCATGGTGCTTTGTATAGGAAACAAGATAGTGGTGAAGAAACCATTTCAAGCAGAGTGCTGCTGTGTGCATCTTTTCTTCCATCCTGGAAATAAATGGGGCATATTCCCATCCAAGAGCTCTAGGAAACAGCTATCTATATTACAGATGAATGGGCCCCAACCACTTGTGCCGGCACAGGAATGTATTGTACAATATATTTGACATTTATGTCTTCCTTCATACAGGCCTGAGGCCTGCTACTCTCCTTTTTGACGCATATTGTGCTTGCTCCATTGCATACATGTGAGATATATATTTACAGCATAATTTTTTGGATTTCTTGATAGGGATTTGCCATTATGGTTACTGTTTAATCCCTTATATCCTCTATTATGGTATGCCCATGGCATAATTTTTGGATACACCTCCCTAGGGAAGTGTTCACCTGTGTGTTTGTGTTGCAGGGACACTAGACTCATGTAGCCATTTTCCCTGCTACACATACATTTAGACCGGTTTTTTTGTGTCATTTTAAATGGTTTTAGGTCTGTGTGTATTGTCTCATACTGAGGTGATGGTAAACCAGGGCAAATGCCCATATGTCATATTCATTTGTGTGTAATAAAGCATAATTTTTGGAAATTATTCCCTTAAGTGTCACGTTCTGTTCATTATGTAGCCGCTTTTCTGTGAATCTCTTTTCACAACCCTCCTTTTTTGTATGCCTCTTTTGGCTACTGAATGGAGACCATACATTGGGTGACACGTTAATGTATATTTAATAACCTCTTTAATAACTTTCTTAGCATCTCATGGGGCCCCCTACTGACCCCGGGCCCTCGGGCAGTGCCCGGGTTTCCAAATGGTCAGTCCGCCCCTGGTACAGACACTTTTTTCAAACATTTAAAAAGACCCTGTTGCCAGATCATTAATTTCACCTGACCATTATATGTGCACATAACGTATTTTATGCATATTATTTGTCTGTACAAGCCTCCCTAGTGTACAAAGTATACTAGTATTTGCCCTTCACTGCTCCCCCAGTAGCTACATGAAAGGTTATGTAAGGAAGGGCAAAGGAGCTAGGCCAGCACAGAGAGTATTCAGACACTCCTAGAAGAGAAGAGGGCTTTGTTTCCTTCTGTGTTTACAGTCATGCCTGTCATATTTACAGGCTTCATTATCGCTTATTTCTTTGAACAGGACACATTTTGTGCTATATTTTTCTCTTATTTCCAGATACCCAGACCATCACTGGTACACTCTAAGCTACTTGTTGTACTTGATGAGGAGATGATGTATGGGCCAGT